GCAGAGCGCGTAGAGGATACATGTGTGCAACCTGCTCTATTGTAGCACTCATCTGCAAGTGGCAGCTGCTTGCTCTTTTCCATTGTTGGCATGCCCAGGTTGACACTGGTATCTTCATGTGGACGACTCGGTTTCCCACGCCGGTTGGGGTGCTCATGACTGTCCTGCCAAGGTACCAGGAGGCGCGCGTGGTGCGCAGCAGGTGCGCGACCTGTGCGCACCCGGTGCGCAGTGGGCGCAGCACATGCGCATCCTGTGCGCAACCTGTGCGCAACCTGGGCGCAGCATGCGCAGCTAGTGCGCAGCCCATGCGTGACCTGCACGCTCAGGTCGCCACAGACTCACCGAGGAAGACCAGCTGGTGGACACTGGATTGGCCAGTGGGATCCTCAAATCACACTCCTTCGTTCCGTGCGAACATCACGCCTATGCTAGTGCGCTGTACTACCCTCATTCTTCTGGTGCACATCCCTTTTGCATGCACCCCCGTGCACACTGACACCCATGGCTCATTGTATTATTCCTCTGGCCCACCTGGCAGCCGTGTCACCTCAAGCTCGGTATCCACTGTGCATACGCAGCGGTTCTGGGATACTATCCGGGTGACGGCCCCGCTGGGTGCCGTATGCTCTCACATGTCGCACACGCCGAGCTCTGATGTCTCTATCCTACGGTCCCCAGGTGATGATTCGGAAGACTTTGCTCCATCGCCTGCACAAGCGGTGCCTGCTCCGGGGACTTCTGCTGTGGGCACTCCTGTAGGAGGTCTTCTGAGCCGGGTGCTACGCAGGGGGAACTATGCCCCGGAGATCCTCCATGTGGTCGAGCATATTCCGGACCCGGTCAGGTCAGACGCAACAAAAGGCCAAGCAGACTCTGGCGATGCTGACACTTCAACGGCTGCTCCCGGGACAGCAGCCACGGCCCCTGTTGGGGTGCCGAAGTCGGCCACACCCATTCATCATGTACCTGACAGGCATTCACAGGTGGACTGGGCAGACCACGAGGTGTTTCACTTTGACCCCGAGATACATCGTATCTCAGCAGCTTCATCGGCACCCTCCCATCCTGTAGGGGTGCAGTATGGTCCTGCTCGTCAATCACGTCGGGCATGTGCCAAAATGCTCGTCAGGGCAGGCCATCGGTGCCCCACCTGTTTTTGCTTGACTTCGCTTTGCCGCTGTCAGCGTGAGAGAGTCACTTGTTGCCTCCCTTCTCTGCGCTGTAGCTGCTTTGGCCACTCCCCACGAGCGTGTGCCCTACTGTCACTATCTGTGTCTCAGGCTGGGGGGCCTTCTCTCCACTTCAGGCTGGCGTCCCAATTTCTCTGTAATCCTAGGAGGTGCGTGCAACCTTGGCATGGCTCTGCACAGCACGAGCTATCCGCATCCCTGCCAATGGCAGGTCTTGCGTCGCTCCTACTCGCGACGACAACGACGTCTATCCCTTCGCAGACAAGAGCATTGGTCTCCGGCCTCAGAACTTATGCAGCATGCTGTCCACTTGCTCTGCAGCTGGTTTGCCCCTTGCAGTTTTTCGGCTAGCATGAACCCCCACCGCCCAGGGGGTCCCGGGAGCACTACAGGCCGGATGGCTCAAGACGGAGGAGCGCAGGAGAACTGGCGAAGCGCGCAGCAAGGGCAGCTGCGCGTGCAGCTACGGGTCAGGCTGCAGGTGCAGCTGAGGGGCAATAGCTGCAGGTGCTGCCGGAGATCAAGCTGCAGCCCCTGATCCCAAGCAGGTGTCGACCTCAGCGGGTTCAAGGGGGAGCCGGCTGCCTCATCCTCTACCGTGGACATGGAACTTCGACTGGTGCCTGCCCTGAGGCCAGGCTTTCTCAGCCAGCCCCCGAAAGAATCCCAACAGAGCATAGCTGCGGGACCTAAGCCGGGCAGTGGGGGACCAAAGATTTGGGTGCCCACTCTGAAGATGAAGGCGCCTCCACCAAATCTTCTCAAGGAGGGGTCGGTCGAGGAAGAACCTCAAACATCCCCTCAGCCGCCGCCACCTCCCCCACCGAAGCGCTCAGTAGCAGCCCTGGCAGCAGAAGAGGCGGAGCACAGGTTGGTTCCCACGGCCCCCACTGGGGAGCCGTCTCAGCAGGCCACTTCAGTGACACCGCCAGTGCCGCCGGCTTTTCGAAGGAAAGCCAAACGGAGCCGCACTCAACCCCCGCGGCCGGTACGGGATGAGGTACGGGCCAAGGAGAAGTGGGCACAGGTGGCTGATCTGGAAGGACGAGTTCGGACATTCAAGAGGCTGAGGTGCTGGCCATGCGAAATCTTTTCCAACTGGCAGGGCATTATACCTCGCAGCACGGGCCTTTCCACGACCTCAGGGACGCTCTCCAGCGCGACAAAGTGTGCGGCCCCTTCGGGGAGCCGTTGCCCCTTGCTCCAGTTGGCAATTGGATACTTGCCCTTGGAGTCTCGCTCCTCGGGCTCGACTCCCCGGATGGGCAGGAGTTGTTTTCCCGCATCGCCAACCATCAGACTGCAGGAGACCTGGTTGAGGCGTGGTCCCTCCAACTTTGGGAACGTGGCTATCGGTCCTTGTGCGAGCAGCTGTCAGGGTACTTCTTACTACTGCACAATGTCCTGACCGACATCCCGCCTCGATTCTACACTGCCCTGGGTCAGGAATGGCGCATTACGTGGACCGAGTTCAAGAATGTCATGAGAGCCTGGCTAGGTGATTCACCTGCCCGGCACTGCCTGCCATCGATCAAGTACCTGCGGCAGGTGTTGAGCCGGGCCATCCTGGGCGACTTTCGGAGCTTCTGAGAGCCCGCTCCCTCTCGCCGAGAGACGGCCCCCTCCTGGGGTGCCGAACTGATTTAATCGACGGTGCCATGGATGCACGCGTCTTTCCCACAATTCTTTTGCCTTACACTTTTCCTGCCTTCCAAGTCGGATCGGCCTTGCCACTGCAGCTTCAGGACCAGCCTGAGTGTGCGTATATGGTTGCCCGGTCTTTCCTGTATGCAACTATTTTGATTCTTGGCTATATCCTTCTTCCACCGCTCAGTTGTCTGCACTGGTGTACCACCCACTTCTTCCACTGTTATTTTTGGCTTAGTGCCCGGTGCCCAGGCCCTTGGACATCGAGCTCCTCCGCGACCTGCCCCGCTCCCAATGTGTCACCGCTTAGGCAATGCCTTCGTCCCTTCCAGATCCTTCGTCGACAGTTTCTGTTTCTGCTCTGTGTAGGGTGCCTTCTCCAAACCGGGACATGCACGAGGACTGGTCCAGGAGAGAGGGAGGTGACCGCCGTCGTGGGGCGAGGGTCTGCCCCGCCCAACGTGCAAGCTCTACCTGCTACAGGTCGTCTTCCAACAGCAGCTGCGGAACAGACTCATATCCCCCCGCAAAAGAGCTCTACAAAGAGCTATTGGTCGAGCTGCCCGGAACCCAGCTCGATCCACTCACTACAAGGGACGCCTATGCACCTTTGACAATCTTAGGGGTGTACCGGCAGGTTCCGGTACTCGGCCCGCAGAGCGGAGCCGCCCTGGAGATGTTGACACCAAGCACGGCCCTCGGATTCGAGCTATGTCGTGGAACGTCGGTGGCCTATCACAGGAGGCGTGGCTAGAGGTGCAAATCTGGCTGCATGAGCAGGAGGAGCATGATGTCATCTTACTTCAGGAGACCCACTGGCGGTTTACCAGTTCCTGGAGCCTCCCGCGTTATCACATTTTCCACAGTGGTGCGACTGACCACAGATTCCAGGGTTGCATGATTGTGATCAGCAAGTCGATTACCTCGTTTGAATCTGTCCGTTGGTCTGCTCCTCTCGTTGGTCATCTCCTGCACGTCCGCTTTCCGGTCAAGGGTCGGCATGTGGATGTTATTAACCTTTATCAGTATGCACTGCACACCGGCCCCGACAGGGCAGCCGTTCTTCACAAGAGGGAGAGGGTCTTGCATCATCTTGACAAAACACTCTCCTCCTTACCCATTCGAAACGTTCTTCTGGTCGGAGGTGATTTTAACTCCAGGGGCACCCGCGACTCCATGCCATTTGGACCTGGCACGTATCTAGGACCAAACCCCCATCCGGATAGGCAACTCCTAGCTAATCTTGCGAATCTGAATACCTGGGGCCGTGTCAGCAAGGCTGCCACGTTTGAGAATGACCAAGCTCGCAGTCAAATTGACTTCTTCTTTGCGCGTACCGCGCAAATTGATGGGCGCTCGAGGCGTGCTTGCACGGATCCCCTGTTTCATCTTCTGCGCTGGCGTGGAGGCGCCCGTCATTACCCATTACAGGTATCTATTCCGGCAGTTCACTACCAATCACCTGCTAAGGTACCTGATGCATCTACGGCCCGTGCACCAAAGTATCAGCTAACTCAGCCTCCAGAGCGAATACAGGCGTTTTGTGAGCACCTGGCAAGCACCCTTTCTGCCCCGCGCGACCCATCAGACCTGGATCGTGCTTTGCAGCAGGCAGCAGCCGAGCACCTGCTTCCTGTTCAGCCGCGGGCCCATGGTGATTCCATCGCGGCGAGGGTCACTGGTATGGTGAAACAGATGTGGAATCTCAAGCATACGGCACAGCAATTTGCACTTGAGGTCCTGCGACCCTTCACCATCGTCGCGCAGATTCGGCACTGGCGAGGCACGGGAGAGCGTCTCTGGTTCTCGCTTGGGCAGTTGCTCTCTGCTTGGAGGCACCAGGCTGCTTATTTGAGACAGCATCGCCATCTCAGGCGTCGGGGGCGTCAGGCGAAGAAGGAACTCATGGAGGAACAGCTCCAGCAAGCATGGGAGGCGGACCGACAGGGGGACAAGTCCTCCATTTGGAAGGTGGTGAACAGGTTAGCTCCACGAACTGCTAGAGTGAAGATCCAGCTACGTGGAAGCCAGGGAGGTTTGCTCACACCAGTTGAAGAAGCTGAGCGGTTTAGAACTATCTGTGAAAAGATCTATAAATTACCGCCACAACAGCACTCTGATACTATGGTCACGCCTCCCCCTGTGCCAACACCCTCACCACCGGTTGAAGTCACCCCTGTCTATTCGCTTGATCACCCGTCTGCTGTGACACCTCCGGATTACGCCTTAGGGAAGTTACCTGCCCATGAGCCCACTCCCGGCCCTATCCAGGTGCCGCGCCTTACGGAAGCATTGTCCCTACTACCCGCACGGAAAGCCACTCCACCTCATCTGGCGCAGCTACATTTGTGGCACCTGGGGAAAGAGGTTCTTCTCCCGCATCTTGCCACTTTCTGCCAACGACTCTGGCGATCCCCTCATCAGTTCCATCAACTCTGGGCGGACGCCTGGATTGCGTGGCTTGCAAAGCCGGGCAAAGCCCCGGACCAGCCAGAGAACTTGCGGCCTATTTCCCTCACTGAGGGAGGTGGCCGTATCGTTGTCAAGGCACTCACTCTCCAGCTGCGTCCGTCCCTCACTGAGGCGACGTGGTCCTGGCCACAGTACGCTTATGTGCCAGG